CCCCAAAACCCCAAAACCCCAAAACCCCAAAACCCCAGAAAAAGTATTATAAATTGAAACCTAACGTATAAAATTTCTAATTTAAAAATACAGCAACAACTATGAAGTTGAGGAAATGGACGAAATTAAAGATAAAAACTCATAACGATGAGAACCAAGGTATTATTTTTGCTCTAAATGTTCTGCAAACATGCTAAAAGTTCTCTTTAGATCCTAAGAAACACCTGACAGGATGTAGGAAGGTCCCAAATCAGCAGAAATGTCATGAAGGAGAGGATATACTAAACATCAACACAAAAAGATCAATGTCTGTGAGTAGTTTCAACACTCCTGTTCCAGAGAATGACTCTAAATCCACAGTTGACTTTATCAACCTGAACAAGACCAAGAGTAGTCAGGGGTCTAGCCGGTTGCAAAAGACATGAGACTTCGGCTCTCATACAGTTCAGACAGATATTCTGTCCTCTATTAAACCGAAGAAATCTAGGAATGGGAGGCCAGAAATTGATCCTAGCTTCACAGATTGTGAGATAGAAGAGCTGATGAAGGGGATGGAGTCCAGGACAAGTAAAAATATCAACACTAAGACTTTACTACTAAAATGTAAGAAGAAATCAGCTACTGAAGAGCTAAAAGCTCTTAAAAAGGAGTATCATAATTGTCTTCTCCAGTGTGAATCTGTTGCTGAGGATAACCAGCAGCTGGCTAGGCAGCTGGAGGCTGCTCATCAAGAGATTTTATCCTTGAAGACAGCTAAAAGAGTCTCAATTGGAGATGAAAGCACACATTCTGAAGTGAACAACCTTCAAAGGGAGGAAATTAAGCAAGCTAAGGAATATATCCAAGAGCTAGAAAATGTCGTAGAAAAGTCAAAATAATAACATCATTTTCTTGAAAGACCTAGTTTTGACTAAAGATGAAAAGAACAAAAAGCTGCAGAAAGAAATTGTCTTTTATAAGGAGCTTTCAGAAACCCATATTGCTGAGTCTTCTAGATTGGCAAAGGAGATTATTGGAATCCGGTCGAAGTATAATAAAATTCTTAACAAAAATTCCCAGATGCAGGTAGGTTTAACTAATTGAAAGTGTAGAATCACAAGAATTATCAGATGGCAAGGACACAATCCCTCTTGAGTCTTTCGAGAAAACAAGACTCTTTAGTTCATGGGAATGATAACAAGGAAGTAACGAACATTAGACAGACGAAGCCAAGGATGATGATCAATCTTGGAGGCTCAAAGGAGAACCAATGTATGTCTCAAGTCTCTATCTTGGAAAATAATCCTTCGTCACTAAATGAATACCGATACTTGACCAAGTACACTTCTGGGAAGACCAAGGTTGGACATGTGAAGAAGAACAGCATATTAGGAGAGAACATCACTTTCAATGGGCAAAACGACTAACCCTACAGTGCTGTACAATATAATTGAGTTTCACAAAGTAATTTCAATTTGAATTTTCCCAACAGGGGTTTTGGGGTTTTGGGGTTTTGGGGTTTTGGGG